TAATGAACAATTCATTTATATGTTACTTCATTCAACAATTAGAAATATTTATCAAACAAATGGAATGATTCAACAAATGTTAAGCACACTTTTGAGTGTGATTTCAAATAAAAGGGGATTGTTAATTTCAAGAATTTTCCAAACAAAAATCAAAATACTTGAATGGCTAAATTCTTCTCATCAAATGACATCAAAACAAATATGTGAATGGTTAGTTCAAAATAAAGATGAAATGTTAAAAGCAGATAATGAGTGTTTATTAAAACAATCTACTCAATGGATAACTGATGAATCAGGAAAATTGTCATTGATTAAAGGTCCGATAGAACAAAGAAGAAAAGATAGAATTATTTTAAATGAACAATCAGAGGCTCAAAGAATTGAGAGTATTAGAAAGATTCAACAAAAGAATAGACAAGTTAGAGCAAGGGTATCAGTATTACTTAAAGATGCTGCAGAACAACGAAAAGAACATTTTAGAGCCCTTCATGCACAAAGTCAAGGTGTTTGGGAAGCATTTGCAGAGTGTTTGTTTTTAGAGAATGGAATATGGCATAAAAAAGAAGAAGGAAAATGGACATTGGATAATGTTGAAGGTCCATGTAGAATGAGAAAAAGATTAATTCATGATACTGACTTTTTCGAAAGATATAAAACAGAAGAACATAACGGATATATTGATGTTCAACTTAAAGAAAGACATCAAGAAAGAAGTTATGAATTACCAGAATACCTAACTGTTATGGATGATATAGAAGTAGCAGAGACATTTTCAAGAACTCCTGGTAGTCCAATGCCAGATTTCAAAGACCCAATGAGAAAGAGAAGAGCTTCAACAGCAACATATGAAGATGATTTATATAATATGATGAAAACAACAGTTGAAACTTCAAATAGTAATTTAAATTTTGTAGAAAAAGGGGATGAAATAAAATCAAAATTCAATTGTAACTTAGTTGTTGGAATGAATAAATTACCAGGAATATTTGTTGTATGTTTACAATCAATTTATATTGTACAAGGGTTGGAGCTTAGAAGAGAAGTCTTAGTTGCTAAAGGAATTGTAAAAACTGAACGAATACCAAGTGAGGATATTCAAAACATTGCATCCAGAAGATTTATGTTACGAAATATTGCAGTTGAAATATTTACATCAACTGGTAGAAATAAACTCATTGTATTTGAAGAAGGTTATGAAGCAGTTATAAAAGCACTTTCTCCATTTAGACAAAAAGAAGTAGACATGACATCTGGAATTCATGAAGAAAAGAAACGTTTGGTTCCATTAAAGATATTTAATCAAGTTGATCCAATGACTCAAAAATGGGTTGATGGTAAAATATCAAATTTCCATTATTTGATGTATTTAAATACAAAAGCAGGAAGAACGTTTAATGACGTTACTCAATATCCTGTAATGCCATGGGTTATTTCTGATTATTCTAGTCAAGAACTTGATCTAAAGAATCCCCATATTTATAGAGATTTATCTAAACCAATTGGTGCACTAACACCAGAACGTGCAGAAAATACTTTAGAACGATATGAAGCAGTTAAAGATAATCCAGAAATGGCATTTCATTATGGAAGTCATTATACTAGTGTGGGAGTAACATTATATTATCTTATTAGATGTGAGCCGTTTTCTCATTTCGGAATTGAATTACAAGGAGGTAAATTTGATAGGGCAGATAGATTATTTAATAGTTTAGAAGACCTTTGGAAATTATTAACTGGACCAACAGTAAAACAAGTAATGGAACTCATACCAGAATTCTTTTATTTCCCTGAATTTTTGAAAAACTTTGATCATTTTGATTTAAAGAAAAGAAATGAAGGAACTATTCAAGTGGATAATGTTATACTTCCTCCATGGGCAAAAGGATCATATAGAAAATTTGTTAGAACAAATATGATGGCATTAGAATCACCTATTGTCAGTCAACACCTTAATGAATGGATTGATCTTATTTTTGGATTTAAACAAACTGGAGAACCAGCAATTAAAGCACTAAATCTATTTCACCCATCATCATATGAAGGAGGTATTGATATGAAAAATGTTGATGATCCTAAGTTAAAAGCAGCTTATGAAGATATGATTATTAATTTTGGACAAACTCCAATTCAACTTTTCAAACAACCCCATCCAAAAAGAAATACATCAAAAACTCAATTCACATATGGAATCTTACTTTCTGATAGTTGGAATGTTTTAATGATTAAAAATTATTCTTATCCAATTAAAGCTATTTCTATTTCTGTTCAAAACTTTAATGGATTAGCAAGTGGAATACCTATTGAAAAAGGAAACAAAATTTTAAATTGGAATGAAGAAGGAACACTTAGTATTTACCAAAATGGAAAAGTTCTCGGTGTTATTGAAAATATTCATCCACCTGGAAAAATTATTTGTAGTGTATGTGATAATATTGTTATTACTGGAGGACAAACTGGAATGATTTGTGTTTTTGATTGCAGCGTTTCATTAAAACAAATAGGAAGAATTAGGGGACACAAAGTTGCTGTTACAGCACTTTGTATTAGTAAAGAGTATTCAATAATTGTAAGTGGAGATGAAATGGGATGTATTAATATTTGGGATTTACATTCATTTAAAATTATTCGTTCATTTGATCATCACACTTGTATCACACTCATTAAAATACAAAATGAAACAGGAGAAATTGTTACCGTCAGTGATACAGATTTTAAACATTGGACAATAAATGGTGAATTAATTCAACGAGCTGAACTAAACCAAATTCCTACAGACGCATACTTTGCTCGTATTCCAGAATGGATTCCTTATCATGTATTTATTACTTCTCATAAAGATGGATCTATAAAAGTATGGAGATTAGATGAAACGTTATGTCTTGGTAATAGTAATTGTAATACCCATGAACACACACCAAAACTGTTAAAAACGTGTAGTGTTCATAATAGTGAAATTACGTGCTTTACTATAGCAGATGATTTTAGTGCAATGTATGTTGGGTATGCAGATGGTTTAATTCAAAAATTGGTTTAAAAAACAAATTATATTTTTATTCAATAAATAAAAAGGAAAAGAACTTAAAAAAAAAAAAGAATCTAGAAAAATTGGAAAAAATATATCAAAATGGTTGAAACGGTTGAAAATAACTTTCTTCAAGAACTTTTGATGTATGAAAATGATGTTGATAAAGTTGATATGTTAAAAGAAAAAGATATTCGTATAATTGCTTCACATGGAGGAGGACCAATTTTAGGAATAAAAAAACCACGGGCATTAGTTACAGATGTTAATATTCCATTGGTTAAAGTATTTAGAGGGAATGGTCAATGGTTAAAAGAATTTCGTGTAAATGAAATTGATCCAGGAGATACTATTAAAGAACTTGGATGGACATTAAATTATCATGTAATGATTATAACTTATGGATTAAAATTTTATTTATATAACTTAGATGGAGAGTGTTTAGAAAAAGATATTATAGATACAAAAGAAGCTGATATTAAGACTATAATGTTTTATGATTATGGATGTTCAATGTTTTTATCAACAAATAAAATTGTGTGTATGGATATTTCTTTTAATAAAAGTGATATTAAAATTAAAAGAAAAGAAGTTGGTTGTGTTGCTGATTGTGTTTGTATGTGGTATAATGTAGCTGATGATTCAGTTAAATGTCTTAGTTTTTATGGAGAAAAAGTGACTCATATTAATATGAAAGATGGGGCATGTAATAATGTTAAAATGTATCGAAATAGTAAAATATATAATGATTTTAATAAAACTGAATCTTGTTTTGTTAATGCTAATGGTACAATGGTTATTTTATGTCAAAGTGATAAAACTGATGATAAAATACTTAAATTTCATTCTTTTATATATTTCCCTAGAGAACTTAAATTAAGTATTATTGGAAATAAAACAACGTACAATAGAGATGAATTATTTGCACATGGTTTATTCTATTTTATTGGATTAGATAGTTTTTTCTTTCAAAAATCACCAAATGCATTTGATGTAACAAAATACTTTTTAAAAACACAAGAATCAACTCATTTATTTAAACGATATGATGAAGTATATTTTGTTGGTGAAGATAAGTCAACTCTCAGAATTATTTACTCTAAAAATAATAAATTTTATATAAAAGTATTTTCAATTATTCTTGAACAGATGCAAGACCTTTTAGCAGGTTGTCCTTTAAAAGACATTGAAAAAGAAATTAATCAGTCAAACCCAAATATGGATATTCATATTAAATATTGTGCTTTTGAAATGTTAAAAGTATATGAACATGAATTAACTGCACTTATTCTTCCTATATTATATCAAGACATTTCATTAGATAATGAAAAACGTCAATCTATCCAAACAAAATTACTTTATTCAGGAATTGATATTTTAGCATCATCTGCAGTAATGTTATCTCCATTAGATCCACTTCAAGATAAATTATTAAAATGTATTTCTTATTTTCTTCCATTTATTTCAGATAAAAATATTCTCAAAGAGAAACAAAATGTATATTTAGCTGCTTGTCATGCTTGTCGTACATTAAAAACATTTAGTTCACATGGTATATTAATGGCTTATTATCAGTATTTAATTTTAGCAAGAACTGAACGTGGAAAAAATAAATTTGGAAGACATACTAATCATGAAGTTCTTTTTTGTACTGAAGTGCATCATCATCCAATACAATCTCTATTAATTTCTATGGATGAATTTTCATTATGTATTAAGTGGTGTGAAGAATTAAAATTAAGTAAATATCCAGTTTTGGCTAGATGGTGTTCAAGAAAAATTCAATTTGTTGGATTTACAGATAATTTAGAAGAAGGATGTCAAACAGATTTAGAATTAATTAAACAACGTATGCAATTATTGAGTAATGATTATTTAATCAAAGTACTTTCTGAAGCAGTTCGTTCACCAAGTGTTGATGTATTACTATTTTTATCTAATATTAATAATGTTTGTCGTTCTTTTATTGTTAAATCATTATTACATGATGAACGATATTCAAATGGTCCAATTATTAGTGCAATTTTCTTAGAGTCTGTATTCTTTTATGATCAAAGAACAATTTTTTATTTTTTCAAGAAAAACTTTGAAAATAAAGCTTGTGTTGTTTCAGAAAAGAAAGAAGAACTTGCTACTATTAGTGGTTTCATTAATAAATCATTTAGTGATGTTCAATTAACTAACGGAACATTAAGAGAACGTTTTCCAGAAGAATTTCGTGAAAGATTAGATGAAATGACTCAATTAGATGGTTCTCGTTTATTGTGGAGATATCTTACATCATGGGAATTATTTGCTATGAAAAATCCAATGAGTGAAATGTTTTGTAGAACAAATATTCTTTCATTAGAAAACTTCTTTTTCAGAAATTTTGAAAATACTAATTTACCATTAAAATATTCTATTGATAAAACTGATGGTGAATGGTTTTATTATTATAATAATCAAAGAGGAAATGATATTGTCATTCAAACAGCTCAACAAAATGCTGTTATTGCTGAAAAATTAAAGTCAGCAGATTTTGAATCTAAAGTACAAGAACAACAAAAAAATGCAAATGGTAGAAGAGAGGCTAGAAAACCCAAATTAATGAAATCAGTATTTACAATGTTATGTGATATTCTTCAAAACATTAATTATAATCCACAAGATATAGAATTAATTAAAAAAGAAACTGGATGTTCTGATAAAATGATTTTACGTGCAGAATTAACAGTTATTAGTGAAATGTCAGAAGGTAATCCAGAAGCAAGAGAACGATTAAGCAAATATATTGATTTAAAGAAAACTCTTTTACCATGGAGTTGTTTTGTAAAAGTTGCTCATGATATGAAATTGAAAACTGAAAGAGATATCTTTTTGAATAAACTTGAGTCAATTGAAGATCGTGTCAAATTATTAGCCGAAATTAATGATTTTAATTATGCAATAGAATTAGCTGAAAAGAGTAAACCATTAATGGAATTATTAAAAAGAATAAATCCATTACGTGATGAACAAATTACAAATAAAATTAATTCTATTCTTGAAAAATTCGATGCCCCACAATCTGTTACTCAAGAAGAACAATCAACTCAATAACTTTGAACATTTTTTTATTCTTTTTTTTTAACATTAATATTTAATAATATTTAAATTTGAAGGTTGCAAGTCAGAAACACTACGCACAACCATAAAATATTTCCATGCTTTGAATCACCAGTTATTATCTAACTATGGTATTATTGTTTGTTAGAAAATATCTTACTCAATATTGCAAGAATATCAGTATTATTATTTATGGTGATTGATATCATTTTTAATAAAAGAGTATGTATTTATAAAGGTGTATTGATTATTTGTTAGAATATAGGTATTTGTTGTTATGGTTGATGGTAAAATGAAAATTATTCATAAGTAAGTGATAATGATATATCTTTCTTAAAGTATGAAAGTAAAGAAGAGGGTTTTAATACTCACCAAAATCAAATAGTAACTTAAATGATGAATACTTAATTCAGAAATATCTGAAATACTTTATTGTATATTAAATAAATAAGAAATGAATTTCTCATTTTTCATAACAAAAAGCTAAGAATAACCTATGTTAAGCAATCTTAAAGCAAAGGGATGGGGTTGATAATCTCCACTAAGCAAGAGAAAATAGAAAATAAATCTATTAACACTTAAATATCTACTTTTTATTCATTTAATTTGTTTAAAATAATACTTTATGAATTAATATCATTCAAAAATAAAAAATAAGGAAAAAAATTTTCAAAGATATAAAATTGTTTATATTATTTTATTAAAACTCT